TGACTTTAGCAGGTACTGTGTGGGAAACGCATTCCGGGAACACGTTCACGGAGCCAGAGGGATTCGGGACGCGCACAGGATGACACAGTTAAGTACGACTTTGCGAACTCGGCAGAGGGGACGTGTGTGAAGGCTGCAGTCCCTGGTCGAGTTGGAGTCGTGGGAGAGGCAGCCGGCAGCCAGCCCCGCGGGGTGAAATCCTGCCCCAGCTCCGCGCGTCGAGCTGGGGCAGCGACTCTGCACCCGCAGGTGAGGGGCTGAGCGGGCCCACGGCCGCCTCCAGCCCCGCAGCACCCCCCCGCCTGGGCGGGCAGGGCAAGCGCTGCGTTGCGGGTGGCACTGGGAGGGGAGAGGGCTGGGAAGAGGGCGCAGAAGCTTGCTCTTCCTCCTGCGTGCCCGGCGTGGTGAACAAAGCGCCCCGACACCAAGCTGCCCCGAGCCCCGGCAGCAGCCGAGGCCACTCTTCTCCCGACACCCCGTCCCCGGAGGCCCCCGCCGCCCCGCTGTCCTCCCCGGTGCCGGCCGCCCCTCTCCCCCATCCCGCTGCTGCCGGGAAAGCGCTTTCGGCTTCCAGTAAGGGACTCTTCTCCCTGGCAAACGTCCCACCAGTCGTCGTCAGCCTGGAAATCTGCTTCCACTTTCTGTGGCTTTTTCGTGCTACCGGTCCCACCAGTCCCCTCTTGCTGGGAACTCCGTTTCTGCTTTCAGTATGTCGCTCCGTAGCGAAGCTGGCCGGGCTCTCCTGCCCCCCCTCCCAAATTCCCCCGCTGCCGGGAAGACGCTGCTGCCCTCGGGGAGCTGCCTGCGGGTCCCAGCACGGCTCAGGGCTGCGCCGGGGGCCGGGGGGGTTGCTGCTGGGCTCCCGCAGACCCCCGGGGACGGCCACCGGGGTCGGGGGAGAGGTGACTGGAATGGCAAGGATTCCCTAAAAGTTGCCGTGCTGCCGCGGGCTGGGCCAGCGGGGAGAACCGGGAGTGGCTTTCACTGGCCGCCGGTGCGAGAAAAGGTTAGCGGGGCGCTCCAGGGACGCGCGGGCTGAGCTTCGGGGTGCTTGGGCGGCGGGTGCTCGCCCCAAGAGCTGAGCAAGACGCCTTGCTTGGGCCGGTGCGACACGTGGGGAGCACCCGGGCCGTGGAGGCTCATCACGGCCACGCTGGACGGGACCCCGAGCGACCTGGAGCGGCTGAAGACGTCCCTGCCCGCGGCGGGGGCTTGGGTGGAGCAGGTGGCCTGGAGGGGTCCCCGCCCGCCCCAGCCCTCCCGTGACTCTCGTAAGCTACAAGCAGTATTCCCAGCGTAACGCTCAGGCCTGATGCACGCGGGTGAACCGTCCCATGAGCCTGACTAGAGAAGAGCTTTTGTTTTGCAATCAAATCTTACATGTTCACGCCAAAAACATTTAGTCAGGGCGCACTAAAGGAGAAACATTGCGGCGATTCAGCGCGTGCGTCACAGAACAGCTTTTCTTCCTCCTAACTTTTTTTTTCCAACCAGATCTACCGAGGCTTACCGGGTGACCGGCAGAGATTTTTGACCTGCCACGTGGAAAGCATCGTTAGCGCGGAAAGCTTTCTTTGTTAGTCTCTGCACAGCGTAGTGCTCGCCTGGGACAAGCGCACCCGGGTGTCGGTAGAGCCGGAATCATACAGTGCAATCCATGATTCAAAAAACTGTCTTCTAGCAGCGGATTTAGAGGGCTAGCCCTAAGGAAGGAGCGAGGAGTTGGAACTCCACTTAAACCCAAGCCTGGGAAGGTAACCCCAAACCCTCTAGCACCTGCCTAAGGACCCACGAATTCACCACTGCCCCCCTCCTTCCACCCCAACGCTGACAGTGCCCGGGGAGATGCTGGGGCCAGGGGAAGCCTTCCTCCTCAGACATGTTACTTTTTTTCAAAACCACTGGCTCAAATAACCTTTTCTCCAGCCGGTTCCTGATTTTTCCTTTATACCTAACTATAGAGGGGGGGTTGTTTTATACCAGAGCAACTCTGATTTCCTACCAGACCGAGTTTTCCAGGAATGCCGATCCCAGCACTGCCCTAACTCCCGGCTCTCCGTGATGGGTACGGTCTTAAAGCCTCCGCCAAAAAAACTCGCCGACGGCAACTCCCCCAGCATCGTGAGCTACTCCCAGTCACGCACACTTCTACTGAAAACTCTCCGAGAGAATAAAAATAAGAATTTCCAGTAAGAGTTCTTCCGAGAACTGCAGTTGGTCAGATGGCCTGTGTCTGCAGGGGCAGCACGTTTTCACCCGCTACAGAGAGCGGTATGGGCCACTCGGGAAAATGGAGAGCTGTTTTAATGCCTGAACAGCAGTATGCAGTGTTCTGTGAATAAAGAGTGGATTTTCTTACGCTGCCTGGCTTCTCTGCATAAAACCTGTGGTTGCCACTGGCTAAAATAGAGAATAGCACAAGAGATCTATTGGTTGCATATGAAGTGTTGGTATTTCCATCAAGGCCGTGTTTAAATGCCCGTAAACCCTTTACAGAAAGGTAAAAATAGCCTGCTGTTATTTGCTACCTATACTTAGGTTATTGCTCCCCGTCTACCTTCTAGCAAAAAAACCTGGGAAAGCACCCAGGTGTTAAAAGGTAGGGGTGGGTGCAATGCAGAGGAACGCCCACGCCACCCCTGTGCCGGCTGTGTCCAAGAAGTCGGCCGGAGGCCTCTGGTCCCCACTCTGAACGGGGTCGCTGGCTGCCGGCTTCCGCGCGTGTGTGGCCCAGGACGCGCTCAGGTGCCCAGGCAAGCTGCAGTTCAGCTGTGCTCTCGCTTTTCTCCAAGAATTTAGGCTTCGGAACACGGGAAGTTTTGTTCGTATCTGGCCAGTCAACTTGAAAATTTAGATTTCTACTGTAATGACGGGGAATTACATTTTTTCGCACTTAATTTCCACACAGATGGCTTTCCATTTCACTTTATTCCTTCACTTTGCCGTTTTCTTTAGTGCTCTTGAAAAATCAGTGTGGCGCTCTGTGTTTCAGACTCTATATGCTCGATGTAGGTAGGTGGATCTCATCTTTGAAAGAAGTTTTGGATGTCCGGATGAAAAGTTTTTGAAAAAAAACCAACAAAAAATAATTGTCATTCTTACATAAAACTGACCTCAGAACTTGGAGCCTGCAGCAGTCATCGGAGGCACGAGGGGTTTTCTTTGTTTTTTTTTGGGAGGGGTTTTGTGTGTGTGTGTGTGTGTGTGTGTGCACGCGCGTGTGTGTCCCCTAAAATAGCAAAAGAAATACCCACTCAACCTCTGCAAAATATCACCGGCGGGGCGGGAAATCCCTATGGCACTAGCATGGAATTTGAAAAGAACGGTTTGCTTATAAAAGTGTATTAAAAGATAAAAGCAATTCTTGATAGCAAAAAAAAAAAAAACCAAACCAAAACCCAACTTAGCTGCAGCAGTTTGCTGTCCTGCCTTCAGCTCACAGCTGCAGCTTCTGGGTGCAGTGGAGACGGCCTGCTGTGGGCGTTGGGGGAACACTAAATAATTGCTTTCCGTGTCTTGCCCTTCCGAGGCTCGGACCACACGCCCAACCTGCAGGCAGCCGAAAAAGCAGAACCAAAAGGCCAAGAATGGTGAAGCGTTCGGCCCCTGGCCAAGGTCTCGCCGGCCGAGAGGCACCCGTGCTCGGTGGACCCCTTCTGTAAAGGTCGGGGTAGCGGGTCCCCGGGACCGCTGTGGCGCAGCAAACGGGTGACTTCGGCCAAGCAAACCCTCCGCCGTGCCGCCACGGGCCGCTCGCGGCAGGTCACTCAGGGTTTCCCCGTTTCCTCCGGGCAGGGGTCCCCGCGGCCGGCGCCCCGGCCCGGCTCTGCCCCCCGGGGCGCAGCGGGGGAGCGCACGGCGAGAATTGCGCCGGAGCCGGGTCCCCCCGGGGGGGCCGGGCTCCAAGCCCCGTCCCAGACGCCCCGTTCCCCGCGGGACCGGCGCACCCACGGGGCCGCCCCGCGCGCCGGGGCTGTCGGCTGCGGGGGGGGGGACCTGGCTCGGCGGGACCCGCTGCCCCCAGCAGTGTCACTGGGGCCGGGGAGGTCCCTCCCGCAGACCCCTCGCGCGGCCGCCGGCCCCCTCCCCTCCGCCGGGGCCCCCCCGCACCCCGCGGGCTGCGTGCTCCCCGCGTGGGCAGAAGTGCAACCGCAACAGCCCCGGGGTCCTGCAGCTTACCCAAACAGACCTGCTTCTCCCGTTCAGCGGGAGGAAAGGGCTTTTCCCAGCTGGTGCAGACTGGGAGGCGCTGGACAAAGCAGGGGTGCGCGAGCCTTCCTCTGGAGTTCAAGTATCTGCTCGTACGGCCCTGAGGGTCTCAGTAAAAGGACCTGCAGACTCAGCCTGGACTTGACCTGATGGCTTGGTCTGGGCTGAAGTAGAGTTAATGTTCCTTTTCCGGGACTAGCTGAGCGCTGTGGTTTGGATTTAGCTTTGGGGGTGCTATGGGAAGGATGCTGACAGCACACTGGTGTTTCCAGCTGCTGCCGAGACTCCAAGGACTCTCCGACTGCCCGTGTCCTGCCCGTGCGCCAGGGCACAGGGAGCAGGGAGGGAGCACGGCCACAGCACCTGACCCAAACTGGGCAGGGAAATATTCCATATCATGGAACGTCATGCTCACTGTATAGAGGAGGGGGGTGGGGAAGGGGCTCTCCCTCTCTCTCTCTCTCGATTCCAGGATTGCGACTGTGGGATCTTGGTACCTCGGGGTCGCTGGCCGGGAACGGGCTGGGGGTTGGTCAGCGGGTGGGGAGCAATTACGCTGTGCGTTGCCTGGTTATATATTTCTTTTTGTTTTCCCCCCATCATCGTCATAGTTCTCGTTTCATTGCCGTTATTAAACTGTTCCTATCTCAGCCTGCGGGTCTCCCTTCACCCCTCCAATTCCCTCCCCCGTTCCCAGGTGGGGAGGGGAAGGGGGGTGACCAGCTGCGGGGTCGGGTGCCGACCAGGCCCAAAGCACGGCACCTGACACAGAAAATGAACGGTAACTGAAATGCTTGTCAAGCCTAACCTTTATTTCTCAAAGCAGCAGACACCGCAGTAAAAGCCTGCCTTCTGAAACACTGAGGGAACTCGCGAGTTGGCTGCTCAGCTCCCCGGCGCCGCGCCCGTGCTCCTGCTGCCGCGCGGCTCCCCAGGGAATCCGCTTTCCGCCGGAGCCGGTTCAGCAGCCGAAGCCAAGCGGGCGAAGCGGCAGCCTGGCCCGTAAGGAAATCGGAGGGGCGGGCGGGTGGCACCCGTGGCCCTGTCCCCTGCTGCGCTTAACCCCCAGGCGCGAGACCCTCGGGCTTGCCAGGCGTCTTCCGGAGCCGTTTCCGAGCGTTTCGGCAGCAAAGGAGCGGGGTTTGTCGCCGAAGCCGGGAGCGGTCGCGGGTGCCCCCCGGCAGGCCCAGGGTGCTGCCGGGGAGAGCAGCACCCGGCTCTGCTCCCGGCATCGCTTCGGCACGCCGTGCCGCTCCCGGCTGAGGCCTCCCGGCCGAGGTGCGCCCGCCTTCGCTCGCTCTCCTTACATGACCGTGCAGGGGCACTGGTGGGAGTGGACGTAGCTGCGGTACTCGGCGAGCTGCTTCAGGTACACGTGGGAAGGCCATCGGTGCGTCTCCACGAAGCTGCGCTCCTCCACTGCACACAGCGAGGGAGGCAATGAAAGCGATGCCCAAACGCGCGGCGCGAGCGCGCAGGCTGCAAAGAGTCTTCTCGAACAGGTCAGAAATCCTGGCGGCTACCGCTGCGGCCAGAAACCCCCGGTGAGGGCCGCCCAGCTGCCCCGACCTCGCCAGGGCACGGACAGAAGGGCTCCCGCCCCGGAAAGCGAGCGGCGAGTGAGTTGCTGGAATAAGCACGGCGCTCGTGGAAGAGAGCAGAGGGGTCGCCCTGACCGCCGATGCTCCTTCTCCTCAGCGGGTAGCCGGGCACGGCCGCCGAGGGCGAGGGTTTTGCTGGGTGCAGCTCGAGGAGGGGGCTTCTGCAACCCCCCTGCCAAGCGTCCCTCTCAGGATCGCTACGGAGCGCAAGGTGAGGAGCGCAGAGAGGAACCCCGGAACATTCTCACCCCTCTGCTGCTCCGCGGGTTTTGGCACTGCCAAGTTCACCAAGTTCATGGAGGTGATCCTCCTCAAAACTATGCTGTGGCACATGAAAATAACATGATTGGTGACAACCAGCCTGGCTTCACTAAGGGAAAATTTTGCCTGACTAATTTGGTGGTCTTCTACAACGGGGTAACAGCATTGATGGATAAGGGAGGAGCAACTGATGTCAGCTACCCGGACTTGTGCAAAGCATCTGACACCGTCCCACGCTACATCCTTGTCTCTGAATTGGAGACATTGCAGGGAGGTTGGACTAGATGATCTTTAAGGTCCCTTCCAACCCAAATCATTCTGTAAATCTGGGATTCCATGACTCAGATAAAGGAGAAAACAAAGGACAGGCTGCCAGGCATGTGGACACCAAACCTCAAAGGCTACCAGCCCACTGGCATGGTTCCCTTTTCCTTCAAGTCAACCCAAAGGTTCTTAGCTCCAAAACAGCCAGCCTGGTGTCAGCCAGCCACTGGAGGCTGCAAAAATCTCATCTGACAGCCAATTGCATTGATACAACCAGAAGCATCACTGCATAAGTTTCACAACAGGCTCATATGCAGCCTGGTATCCATCAGGATAACTGCAACGTGGAGACAGAAGTGTTATTACTATTACTTTCCACAGCAGGAAAAACCCAAAAGGAACAAACCCCCAATATATTTAATAAGCTATACTGATAAATTGATGTCTCATGGGGGAACCGTAAAATGGGTAAGTAGATGTGCCCAGATTGAGCCCTGCAGTGACCCCAAGTCAGGAAGGTCTCTGTGCTCTCCTGCATCACCAAGGGGAAGCCAGGGGCAGCTCCCACCTTCCCCAAACAGAAAGGACAACCTGATTCCTGCAGCTTCAGGAGAACCTCAGGGTTGTTGAGACCAAAGCCCCGTAGCGAGGAAAATGCCATGAAGTGCTTTCAAACACACCCTGTCATCTGATCCTGCGGGAGGGGAAGCAAAGCAACTCCTCTGTGGACCAAACCCACTGGTGGGTGACACTTGCCAACACAGCTGCCCTGCTCTCCTGTGTTTAATCCAGACCTGGTTATACAAAATGGACGTTTCTGAAGATGCACAGGTGGGCCACGGGAAGACAAATTCCATGTCCAAACAAAGCAGGGAGGATCTAGCTCTCCTTCCTTTGCTCATAACAATTACAAGGCCACCCATCATCACACAGACACATCTGAGCCTTGCAGATGAGGAAGGAGGACCTTCAATCTACTTTGGACCAAACAGAACTTCAGCTCACTGGTAAGAAAAATCCCTGTCTGGAATAGAATGTCCCCACACCAACGGCCTGAATACAAACCACTGGTCAGAGAGACGCATCTGTTAAGATTGCCTTCATCAGGGTGATGAAAATTCCCATAGGCAAGGAGCAAGACTTTCTAGAGACACATACCAGGAAACAAGTACACTGTTTGGGAAAATAAATATCAGTTCCTTGGAAGAACCTGGGGTTTTTTACTTGAGTGGACATTTGTTATTTGATTTCATGAGATCTGCTAGAGAGTACTGTAAGAATCTTATTTTCTTCAAAGAAAACCCCAACCCTGAAAGAGCAGGTATTGGGAGTGACCTTCATTCAAATGTACAAACTAAACAAAATCATATACATAGGGTGGAGGGGTCGACATACGGTGACTAAATTGTCCCAGTTGATTCAGTTACGGGTGGGAACCTGGCCACCAGTACAGGAACCAAAATGCAGGAGGGGAGGGTTGCTGACTGTGCTGCTCTTCATGTGCCACGTGCTGGTCCCACCGTAGGGTGGTGACCCATCCAGCTCAAACAGACTCTGGACTGGCCTAGACGGTACAGCCTAAAGAAGTCCTAACCATCTTCTCACGCAGAATTTTCCCCCCAACATTGGAGACTTTTAAGATTCAGCTGGAAAGTGCTGGGGCATATTGTCTAGACCCTGCTTTTGCCAAGAAAGTTTGGACCAGGTGATCCTTGAGGTCCCTTCCAACCTGGTATTCTACGATTCTGTGAAATAGTATTGTCCAGTACCTTGTTTCTGATCTAAGCAGAGCTGAAAAACATTTCTTGTTTTAAAACTAATTGATAAATTACCTGAAAGGTCTTGAAATTCAGGCTTTTGACTGAAGATGAGGTAGTTAGTGGCAATAAAATGAAGAAGCCAAGTTGAAAGGCAATCAGAGTTATGGAACTACAAGGAAGAAGAAAACACAAATAGCTCTTAATGCTACCATGTCTAAAACACAACCACACCTTTCATGTCAAAATATTTTAGATTTTCACTGTCAACATAGCAGTTTACCAAATAAGGTTTTGATTGTAGGAGATGACAAAGGAAAAGTCTTTGATGGATATATATATAAACAGAGGAGACCCAAGAATAAATGATAAAACTCCCTTCCCCAAAGGTCTGACCTAAACCCTGGGGCTCCTTTGGTCATGAATCTTGGAAATTTTTGCCTTCTGCACAGAAGCAGAGCTTTAGGAAAAGGAAGGTAAGAAACACGGCGTGGTGGTTTTGTTGTCTCCTCTTTCTCCACAAAATCTTGTTTATTTAAGACAGTATCCTGCCTGATACTTGTAAAAAGTTCAGGATTTATTTTCCTCTTCTGTTTTCTAAATCCGTCTTTACTGTGTCTCTCTGGTTTTTTTTCAGCCTCTAATATTTTATTTTCAAGCTTTTTATGTATTCTACTCAGTATTCTATCAGGTTATATCTCCTTTGCCACTTGCATATCATACAATTTTCTTTTTGACTAACAGAGGAAGTAGTGCATCTTCACCTGCCTAAAACACATCTTTTCTGGCAGAAGCTGCAATTAAACTGAATTACTGCAATGTGTCCTTGATGAGGGAAGTTGCAGAGATTATGGTATGACTGCACATTCTGCAATAAAAGGCTGAAGGCCTTATTTTAGCCAGCCTTGTGCCGCCAGATATCTCTAAATAACAGACTGTATAGCAGTGTTTTCCCATGGGAACAGAAACTATTAAGATCATAAAAAATCTTAATAATCTAGCGTATGTATTCTTACTTGACATAGGCAGCACATACCTTGGCTTTTTTGAGCAAGCTAACAATACTGAGACTTGTGGATGCCAGTTCCCTGCTAGGCATGCTCTGAAGCTGCGTGATAATGTAAAGCTCACAAATGTGCTGGAGTCTCATTACTTGGTACATTTCCGCACAGATCAAGAGAGACATAGCCTGGAGAATGCTGGCTGAAAAACAAGAAAGCATAAATTACATGTATTTTACCTTTCTGACAACAGGATCAAACCCATTTTTCTCCAAGTCATCTTTTAAACCCCTAACAGTGAACACAAAATCAAACTGCTGTTGATCATCTTCTTTTATTTTTCATTATTATCAACATAAGTTTGCTATATCACTCTCTTTTTTTCCAGATAAACTACTTAACTAACAGGAAAAGAGTAGTTGGTACTTTTTAGAAGCTAAGTGTAATAAAGTGTTATCCATATCCTGTATCTTGAAGATGCTGAGTCACGTGCTGCTGATCTGTTTAAAGTAAGTGATGATTAATAAGAGGATTTAGCTTTCTAACTTCTCTTTCTAAAAATAACCTCTATGACACATGTACAAAAAGTATAGTAAAAAGGCCAAAAAGAAAATATAACAACTGTATTTTTAAAAAAATGTGGTACAGTGGATTCACATTTAAGCTGATGGACAAGGAAATGTTAGACAGACTTAAAAAAAGAAACATGTGGAAAACATGGGAGTAAGGTAGAACTATTTGAGAAAAAAATAAAAGCAAAAATACATATCACAACGTCATTCACTCAACATCAAAAGAAAATTATATTTAAATCATATTTCATATTTATCTAGTACGTAGATTTTTCTTCTCATTAAAAAAGTCAAAGGTTAAGATAAAAAGAACAATCTGGCTCAATCTTTCTTGCCAAATACTCCAGCTAACAGACTTTTTTTCTGGTTTTACATACAAATGACATATCTATGTATATAAATAAGCTACTCTTGAAATTTAACCTTGTTGATATTAAACTTAACAAAATAGACACTAAACTAAATGACAATTTTGAAATAAAACCCAGAATTAAAATTAAAAAGCAGTATTATTTTGATGTAGAAACAAAATTCCAAAAATTTTAATGGACCGGAAATGAAATTTCACAGTTTTTTGAGTCTTGCTACGTAAGCACAAAAGAAATACAGCATTTTATTAGTGATATTTGTTCTGTCTGCAGTTGGTTTTGCTTGAATAATTTTTTTATTGCACAATGTGAATAAGTTCTCTTTCTTGAGACATTATACATGAAAATATTGGTATTTTTCTATGAAATAAATGCTGCTAAATTACTCTCTATCAATGCTCCACTGCAGAAAAATTAGTAACGGATATATGTGAATTTAAAAATTTTCTTACCTGGACAGCAGGAGTCGGTATAAAGATACTCTAGAAAGGAGAGGAAAGTGTCTTTCGAAACTCCGTGTACTGGAACCAGAATACTGTTTGCTTCTAGATACTTGCCATTAAACATAGCTGCCATCACCTCACAGCGAGCTACCAGAACCGCTCTGTGGGCTGGTACAGTTGCATCTGCAGGACACCAGACAAAAAACTATGAAGATTTTACATGGACGGAAAGAGCTTGATTTATAAAGCTCCCATTTTCTTATCTGAACATGGTTAAAGTGTTTAAAATTAACAATACCCAGCAGATAACCAATAACATACTCTCTTTATACCAGTCGTTTACATCTGCCTAGTAGCCACCAGCAAACACAAAAAAATACCAGATTTTTTATGACACACTGCTCCCAACACCAGGTGCTCCAAATAGGGCAAATTTTTATCAGTCAGAAACACTTTCAGCTAGCAAAAAATCTGACACCACTGTAGTTACACCAATTTACACCAACTGAACCTCTGACCCGTTACATAAATATGCAGTGCTGTGAATTATTATGTATATGAGTAATTTGTATTCATCAGTAATCCCATTGGTAATGAATGTGTGTTCCAGAAGTCAAATTTACACGTAGCCACACAAAGCAGAAAAAGGAAAATTATCCCAGATGAAATTCCATTCAATCTATTAAGTACGAATTTAACCATGCTGAGTATTTTGCCTAAGCGAATTTCCTGAGGGTCATCTTACAAAAATACAGCTGATAAATCTTTACAGAAATTTTTCCATTTTTTAATATTTGCAAGTGAACAATTTACTTTACTACAGCCTTTGGAAGACCTAGTAAGGTTAACAGCCCGGGGTGGCAGAGGTCTTACAGGCTTTTAACAAAAAAGTAGACAGCCTGAGCTGCCATCCCCAACACTCGGACTTCTGCAGAGTCCAGCTGAACCCGACTTTCTTGCAAGCAAGAAAGTGCCAAACAAGTGCCGGGCAGGACAGCAACCCAAGACAGAGGGGGAGCTTACAGTCAGATGTAAATTGTTTAATCAAAATCATAATAAACAGATCAACTGACATGCAAGGTAAATATATTGTAAATACTTAGGTAGAAGTTACTGTCTTAATTTCCTCCTTAACCACAACCCTGCCACCTACTTAATTCCTTGAAGACATCTGGCACTTTTTCATTTTCCTTATATTTCTATTCACCTGTGCTTTGACTTCCAAATTGTCTAAGCTGCATAAAAAATGTCTATATATTTATGTAGAGAGAACACAGGTAAGTTGTATTATGTATTTACGCGTGTAACATGAGCAATTCACAATGCAGACGTGATGTAAGATATGCATGGAGTTTTGTATGTTCATGTAATTGGGTATGTACCTACTAACGAGGAGGTTCAGCCAAATTATGAGGTTTTACACAGACATAATGGGCTTCCATCTTCAGTGGCTCCCAAGTACTTTTGTAAGCTAGAAAGCTCAAAGCAACTCCCAGTATTGCAGGAACTAGTTGGAGACTTTAAAATGTATCTGCCCAATCAAGACTAAAGCCTTCAGTTTCTCTTAGCAGTTATTTAATTGTAATACAATTACTGTGGCTGATGAATTAGGGGAAAAGGCTTTGAAGATTTACTGAGCATATGGGAAAAACGCTCACGCTTTGCTAGTTTTGCTTATTTTTATTTTTGTTAAAATACATGTCAACCCATTCGACAGCAACTTTTTTTTCTGTGAGGTATATAGCAGTGATATGGTTTCATCAAATTCCCACAAAGCTTCTCTCAGGAGTGGGATCCTGAGAGGAATGGTTCATGTCATTAAGCTCAGCACTGGAATTTTGTTCTCATTTTCATAGATCTTTTTGCTTTTTTCTGTGTATTACACAGAACACCTAGCAAAAAGTTTGCTTGTCCTTGTGTGCTTACTTTTGAGGGATTAATGCTTCAAATTTTGCTGTGGGATTTAAAACTGAAAAAGGTTAAACAGTTGTCTAATCCTAAAGAACTATTTCCACAGGTAGGGTGAGCATGCACAAATCAGGAAAAGTTAGCGTTTAAAATCTGTCTCATTGTCACAACAGCGCGTTGCACTTTTTACCTCCTGTGTTTTTATTTTTAAGGGTGGATGCATTTAATTTCCAGGGGAGAAGAAAAAAAAAAAAAAAAAACAAAAAACACCCGTGGCACTGCAGCAGACTGGTGCACCCAAGCTCTTTCTTTGCAGACAAAATGGGAACAGAAATCAGTGACAGAAACGTGAAGATCTGTGTCGGGAGCATCTCGGGGAGGGAACAGTAGAGCAGCAGTGAAATACGGGGCGTGTTGGTGGCGCCTAGATCAGCAGGTCACCGAAACCCCAGCGCATCCACACACGCCCCTAGGGATGCCCACGCCGGGGGAGGAGGGGGCGGTGAGTAAAGCCTGAGGAGGCACAGAAATGGGACAGAAATCCCTGTCGGCTTCTGGAGGGTAGAGAAAGGCACATCCACAGCCTCGGAGGGGCGGAGGGAGGGCGGCCAGGAGCGAGCTGCCAGCATCTCTGGCCTTTTCAGCGAGGGCAAGGGGTGGAGACGTGGCCCCCCCGAGTGCATCCCTCCCGAGGTGGGATGCTGGAGATACAACAATCCTGGAGAGGGGATAAATGCTGGAGGCACAGCCGTGCCCGTGTCCACGGGAGGCAGAGGTACCGTACCTTGTATTTTGAAGATGACATCAGCTAGGACAGGCGTATTAAAGAACAGCCTGAGGGAATTATTACACAGCCGCTTTATCGGGTGAGATGTGCAGTCCTTTACAGTGTTTAGCTGCAAAGTAAGTTATTAATGAAACAGCGCCATGGGTAGTTGCCCACAGAATAAAAGCTTACAAGACATCATTTACATGGGGAAACTAAACAACAGCCTTTTGCTTTCTCTTTTATGTTCTTTTGCTAATGCCACCCAGCCATGCCTCTCACACGTGCAACCCTCTGCAACCACCTGTATTGTTCATTTTCCTGTTTCCCACAGCGCAGCAGCCCCGAGGTGTCCCTGCCTCCTGCAGTCACACCCCAGCTCTCCCCTTGGTACCCTCCGACAAAACCGCCCCCTCCAGCACCTCTGGGCAGGTTTGACTGCATTACGAATTTTCTGGGCTCCACATATTTTCATAGATGCCCTGTTCGGACCCACGGCTGCAGGAACACAAGGGTCAAGGGCTCTGGGGGGGATCCCTGGCGGGACACACATCTGCAGAGATGCAGGGCAGCTAAAAGTTGTGTTTCTTGTTATCAGCCTGGTATTGCCTCCTCAGACGCAGAGGGAGCTCGCAGGCTGGAGCACAGACTTCTCTCACAATAGTCCGGGCATGCTCGCACCACGACCCTCCAAAACCCAGCACTTCCAGTTAGTTTTCAGTTTTGTTTTTCTTACTTTAAAAATGGAATCTAAAGCTACCGGAAGGGAAAACATCAAAAGTCATATTGCTAGATTGCAATAACTGAAATTCAGATTTGGTTGAATTTATGGTTAAAATACGATCCAGTTTATTAATTATTTTTTAATTTTATCAAGAAAATGCATAATTAATTTCTATGCCTTTGAAGAAAAACTTTTAAACATGATATAAAAGTATCCCAAAGGCATAAAACCAAACCAAAACAAAAAAAATACACACACACAAAAAAACACACAACCAACCAACCAAAAAAACCCTAACTCAGGCTCATTATCTTAAAAGTTTTTGGGACTTTCTAAGTCCAACCTCATGAACGTTTTAGCTGTGGACACTTAGGACTGACAAGCCTACAGCCAAATCGCTTTAAACAGCTAAATAACTTTTTGATCTTCTGTAATCTCAAGACAGTCCAAGATTATTTTCCATTTAAATTGACAGAAATACTTTGTGCAAGTGCTATAGTATCAAGGAATGTATAAACTCCACCAGCAAACAGCTGTTAACATTAATTCTACATTGTAATTTTTTATTAACATAATGACTTGATATGAATTACATTTTACTGTGAAGTCATCTGATGAATTTAATATACTGAGTTATTACAGCTTTCCACATCACAGCATTTCTAAGAGAAACCACCTGTCCTGATCTACTACAGAAGCACAACTTTTGGCACATACTCAGGAAAACAAACCTTTCCTGGGCAGCCTCTGTTACATGAGAATTAGCCACATGTAATCATATTGCTAGACAATGTGTAAAGCTGTGGACATGAGTAGTCCTTCCAGGGTACCTACTTGTGTGCTTTTTACCAATTACATTAATTCTGCACACTGCATCTGCATCTCTGTGCTTTTATTTTGTGCGCGCCTGTGAACAGCCCGCTGATAAAGCAATAAAACCGGTGTAAGCCAAAGTGAGTTTAAAGCAAAGACTGACAAGGAAACCTTGACTACAAAATGATTTCCCAAGAACTTAAGTAACTAATACTAAGTTTCCCCAAGAGAGTTAGATGTACCTTTCCTGGAGTTTTCAGAATGCATTTAACTTTCTCAAGCACGTGTTCAGTTTTTTCTGGATCCTTCAGCTTCTTTTTGATATCCTCTTCCAATTGTTCCCACTGGAAAGCACCTGTCACAAGAGCAGGTAAAGCTGGATTATAAATCAACAAGGCACAGGCCTTAGCAGGCAGAGAAAAGATGACATCAATGACAAACAGATCTTGCAGAAACTGTATTTTTTTTTTTTGCACATAAATCAGCCAGGATCCCCTTGCTTTGGAAGGGCAAGATGCAATTCTTGCACAATAAAATTTCCATGGCACTTTACAAGAATGCAATCAATTACAGGCAGACTAGGGTACCTCTGTTGCTCTCAAAATCAGTTTCGGAATTCCTCCCAGTTCAATCACTACATACTGCAGGTAGACATTCAGCAAAAAAAAATCCCGAAAGTTTCAGTATTTGTGGAAGTTGTTTTGCTTCTGCTCATATTGCTGGTTGCATTTCTTTGTAGGTGTCTGAACCAGAAATGTCTCATTCGCAGTTTCATTCTGGAGCACTGATAGCTTAAAAAGCCTGCAGGGGAATTTCTTTCTTTATTGTTTTCATAGTCAAAGCATGATACTCTCTTGGGTGTCTCAATAGCTTTCTTGGAAAAGTGAAACATGTTGATCAGTTTTAAAATAATAATAATAATTATGTTGTTGTTGCTGTTACTGTTACTATTGCTATTGCTACTCCTATTGCTACTTCTATTATTATTACTTTTACTGTTGCTATTACTATTGCTATTGCTATTACTATTGCTGTTGCTATCACTATCCCTATCACTATCGCTATTACTATCGCTATTGCTATTGCTATTGCCAGTAACGATAGTAATAGTAATAAATATCGTTCTTGGTTTTATTATTATTATCATCATCACTATCATAATTATTATCATTACCATTATTATCATTATTTATTATCATTGTCATCATTATTATTTATCTTTATACGCTTTGCTGGAGTAAGTCTCAAAGACCCCATGGGGATTTTTGGTAACTCAGCTCCGATCCCCGGGGTCACGCAGCAAGGAAGGGTCAGGGACAGGTAAATCTCAGCGTGAAGCACGATTCAGCACGGCGCTGGTGGCACTCTGCTGCAGAAGAGGCTGTCTGCGTCTGTGCAGGCTCCTGCGTGCACCCTATGGATGGCGAGTGCTTAAGACCTCAGGGGCATAACGTCACGGTCCTGAAAAGCTGAAAACGCCGGCCCTGCCTCCTGATCTGGTCTCCCCTCAGCCCGTGCCTCCAGCGTCCTCGAAAGGGCTCGCCGATTCCCAGAGGCTTCGGGCGATGCCCCTCGGGCCGGGGGCTGTGTGAGACGCGGCCCGCAGCTCCACAACCCCTTGGGTTGACATAAGCAGAAGCAAAAAAGTAAAATCGGTGCACAAACGGCAGCAGAAGCGAGTTGTAAACGGTAACAGACGAAGGCACTGCACTCACCTATCAGCTGCTGAAATTCCAAGCTTAGTCCTCTATTCATGTCCCCAGTAAATAAATAAAGAAAAATCCATTCACACTGAGAAACTTCTGCATCTGTTCTTTGTGTTTGACACTGGCTTGGAAAGAACTGAAAGGGATGATTTCAGTGCACAAACTTTAACTGAAAGCTGAAAGACTCTCCCTTGTGTCTTCACAAGCCAGTGTTCAGGTCTCAGCTACTGAGGCAGAAATCCTTTTCACATGTCAGGCAGGTATCAGCCCACAGGTATTGACTAAGCTTCCTTATAGATGCAGCTCTAACATTATAATCATTTGGGGGCTGTTTTTATTTCAGTTAAAATCAGAATGCATCATTAAAAACCCTACTGATTCTTTCAACAGCTATAAAATCTATATTCTTATCTACCAACAGCTTGCAAAACATTTTAGAAAGAAGAAACAGGTGTCAGGTACTTCCAGAAAAAAAAAAAAAAAAAAAAACAACACAAAAACAAAACAAAACAACTTTCACTTCAGGATTCTTAAGCAACATTTGAAAATTTAGAAAAATATCAGTGTCATTTTAATAGATAGCTGGAGTTATGTAGGTGAGGTCACTGCCTGGGCTGAATTTCTAGCAGAATTCATGCAACATGTCAGAGCCCCCTGTCCTCCAACCAGTTATCACTGTTTTCTCTTCAGCAGCACCATGCCCAGAAAAGAAAGCACTTGAGCTTTCTTAAGTAACCCTGCACTCTTGTCAATGTGTTTGGAACACACAAGCATTTTAAATATGTGAAGAGCCCAAAATCTGAAACTGTCTCAAACTCTGGATTTGGGTTGTGGGTTTTTTTTTTTTTTTTTGGCAAAGCTTGTGGGTATTATTGATGTTAGCTCACAGGTTTTGTTGGGTAAAATATTACGGCTGATTTACGTTGCTTCAATCTGGAACGGCAACCCATTTAATTATTGTTAGATCTAGGCGAAGTGTTTTGTTTTGGTTTTTTTTTTTTTTTAAAAAGTAGGTGTTGTTGGCAAGGGTGACAGGGGACGGGACGCCAGATCCCCGCAGCGCAGGCGCGTCCCGTGGGGCGACGCGCGGGCTGAGGCGTCGGCCGTAGGAGGGGTGAGTAAGCCGGGCCCGGCTTTGGGGTACCTGAATAAATGAAGTGGAGGATGTCCGGGAGGCAAGAGCAGAAGACGGGGTCCTTCACCACCACCCTGACCGGCGGGGCGCGGGGCGGGCGGCCGTGGGGGTGGGTGGGCAGGGCCTCCCCCTCCTCCACCGCGAAAAGGCTCCGCGCCGTCCGCACGATGGAGGCGTCGCGGATGTCGGCGGGGCTCTTCACCCCGAAAAGCAGCATGAAGAGGTGGCTGGCCGAGCAGAGGATGACCTTGTGGGCCTCCACCGCCGCCGTGCTGGGGTCCTCGGGGCAAAACGCCACGTCGGCGCACTGGCAGCAGCAGAGCAGGTTGTGCAGGTCGGCCTCGTAGTGCGAGGCTTCGCCCTTCAGGATCGGCATCTTCTCTGCGGAAGACAACGGGTCGGGCTGTAGAGCTGGAGCGAGCGCCGACCGCGGGGGAAGGAGAAAAATCTATTCCCAGACGCCCGCCCGAACGAAGGACAGCTCTTGAAAGAAGCATCCCATGAGAAAATCTATTCCCAGACACCCGCCCAAACGAAGGACAGCTCTTGAAAGAAGCATCCCAGGAGAAAACGGCTTGTAAGGGCATTCAATTAGTAAAATACTCTAAAAACGGAAATGCTTCGCAGGGTAAAATAAGAAACACAGGAAATATTTAGCTTAGTAAAAAGCGCCCATCCTTTCACAACACCTCTTTAGGCACTCGCCTTGGGAGGAGACCTCGCCTCTGAATCCAAATCTTAAGCGATCTGAGCGAATTTCTAGTATGTGTGAGAAGAGACAACCATGTATTTAGACAGGACTACTTGTCAATAGTTATTTCACTGAATAAATGCATCAGATCCTCAGAAATTGCATACAGGAAATCACGTGCAGGGGCCTACACCTCTCGTTTCATGTGCAGCAAATAAAAATATTGCTTGATGATATCATAGAACATCAAAGAACGATGTAATGATTTTCTAATTTGTCTGTAAAACTTTTATGTAAAGCTTTTATTAATCCACCTTTGCATTACTTCATCAAGCACACCAGAAAAACCACTCCTACTGTTTTTGTCTAAAATAAATTAGAAGTCCATTGTCATGTTACATATTGCTATACAAATCTCCTCAAATTAATTAAACCACCACTGAAAGATGATGCAACTAGAGCAACATAACCAGAATAGCTGATGAGCACAGCTCGCAGTAATGATTACAAAATGCTAATTGCACAAAGGACATGACATGCATAACGAACGACACCGGAGCCCAGACACCAGCGAGCACCTGGCTGTTCAAGCTGAGGCGGTTGAACTCGATGGCACTTCTGCGTCTTTTTCCTCTTCTTCATTTTTTCAGATGACTTCTGATTCAAACTTTGGATCATAAAATATTCCAGCTAAAACACAAAATGTATTTTTAAAAAAAAAAAAATCCAAGTTATTTAAGAACAACCTAGACAGCAAACTGAGGAGAACAAGCGGGCGCTGTCTGCAGGACTGAGGCCACTGCCACCATCAACAGTCATCCAGGAGAGTCCCAGCACCCCTTTGCTAAGAGCAGGTACCAAATATAGTTGGAATTAGCACAATTTAAATGTCTACTTATTCAAACAATGGTGACTAATCCTCTTGTATTTAACCTTCCTGGAAATGACAGGCACAAAGACACTTAATTCAGCAACTTCCATAGGTGCTAATTACAGAATTACAGAGGATAGTAAGACTTGATGGATAACGACCAGGTGCAAGTGCTGGAAATAACAAAATCATATGGGAGCCCTTCAGCTTGCAGCTAACCACCACCACTACACAATGCTACCGTGACTTCTGAAAAAGTCACATTACTGGGCAACCTTTGTGAGCAAGGTTTGTTTCACTGGGACAGACTACGAGCTTCATCACTGCAAAAAAAGAAAAAAATGTACCTGAGGGGAAACATTCCCTTTTACAGGAATGAAAAGGCCCAAATGGTGGTTTAGTACAAGTTAATGCATGTCTTAAATGCTTTTATCACCCAAGATAATACTGTAGCACAGTGCTTCTGAGAACTAGAAAAATACTCTGATTGGACCAGGTGTTGAGTGGCTTCCTCCTTTTTAGTGGGAAGGGATCCAATGAAAACCAATTGTTGTGCCAGATACTCCAAGTTACTATCAAATCCCATGGAAACACAACGTACTTACGCACCAGGGACAACACCAGCACAGACCAGGTGAAATTACTGTGCCAAAAGAACTGCATTTTTTTTGTTCAAGCCCAAATGCCACCAGGAAAGCAACCAAAAGGTTAAAAAAAAAAAAAAAAAAGGCTGAGCTTAAAAAAACCTCATAAAACTGAAAATGAAGCACCAGTGTGAAATGATTTTGTGGAGAAGGCGAATAAATCTGAAAGACTTCTATTTAGAAACAGCTCAGTGGGCTTCCCTGTCTTCAGGAGAGTGGAAAAAGAATAAGCTCATTAGAGGTGGAACATTTTAACAAGCTTCACAGCTTCTGCCTTGTTCAGCTTCACTGTGGCTGACCCCAGGATCTGCTCAGGATTGCAAACTGTGTCACGACTGCAAACGGAGCAACCACAAGAATGTGCTAAAAAAATCAGGCTATTCAACAATCTTACCTGTTTTACTTTACAAGTAGAACAGTTGTGAGAGTTTCAGCAAATAAAATTTAAGATATTGGAATATTATGGGATAATTCAGGTTGAAAGGAACCTGTGGAGGTCACCCACTCCGGGCATCTGCTCAAAACCGGACTTGTCTTCAAATGGGATTGGGTTGGTGAGTGCCTCATCAAGCTGGTTTTGATTTTCCCATCCCAACCGAGATAAAAGGAACGGAATAGTGTGTGTGGGGGGGAAATTCTAGAAGGTAGTTAAAACCAGAGTAACCTCAGTAGTGACAATTTGGATAGAATCATAGAATGGTTTGGGGTTGGAGGGCCCTCAAAGCCCCCCCAGTGCCCCCCCCGCCCCGGGCAGGGCCCCCTTCCCCCAGCCCAGGGGGCTCCCAGCCCCGTCCAACCTGGCCTTGAACCCTTCCAGGGAGGGGGCACCCACAGCTGCTCTGGGCACCCTGGGCCAGCGCCTCACCCCCCAAACAGGGAACAATTTCTGCCTTAGAGCTCACCTAAACCTAGCATCACCGGGCACTCACTCCCCAAAGCCCTGACACCCACCACGCACCTCCCACGGGTGCTGCCCTGCTCTCGGCACCCGGGGCTTCCCACTCACCACTCCGCCGAAGTACTTCTGTATGTAGAAGTCATTCAGAGCGTGCAGTTCGAGGTAAGTGGCCTCGAGTTCCTTGGCAAGCTGAACTCCCTCGGAGGTGGTGACGCAGCTCCTCCTGTCTGAAGCGCACAAGGGGCAGGTGCAAGGCACTCCTGGGGGAAAAAGTGATGCAAAGAAAGCCACTTTCGTCAAAAAATCCAGAATACTCAGCTTCCTAAATAATTGTGAAGATGTATTATTTAGAAAAGAACAAAGAGGGAAATGGTAACAGAGTAATTTTATGGTAAGAAATCTATAATTAATGCAATAACCCTCAAACTTTTAATACTCGGTTCAAAATACTAGCTGCTATACAGTGCTCAGCATACACTACTTTACACTGAGTTTTGCTAAGGTGGGAAAGTCAAGCAGAATTTCCAGAGGCCAGGTTTGCCTCAGGGCCTCGGAATCCTTATATGCACAGGTGTTGTACGAGCCTGCAGGTGCTACCATTCATTAATGTCACCCTTAAACCTGTTTAATTATTGTGGCCCGTCCATGCAGGAAGCACGCACACTACAAGAAGGGAAAAATTTCCACTGCAGTCCCAGCTGTTACAGGCATGTACGTACTGCAGAATAGGATTCAACTGCACCTATTTTGCCTAAAACTATTTTAAGTCAAAATAGGTATTTTTAAGATTATGCTGTTTAACCGATAAAAATCTGTTAGCCGCCCCAGCTCAACTTTGCTTCAGGTGGGCAAGAACTTGTTGGCCATGGATGTGCTCTCAAATGTGCTGTGCATGCTCTACATTAATTTCCTCTGCTCAGACCTATGGATAACATGTAATAGCGCAGAAATTTTTTTTATATATCTTTTGGCAGCAGCATTTGTTACTACAGAGGATTAAGATCTTAGTAATTTGTATGAGCAAACTGCTGTGTTCACAAATACCTCCTAGAAACAAAAGGGTTCTGTGTGTGCACAGCAGTCTGCTCCGGCAGGTCCCAAAGAGAAACTGTGGCTGCAGAGCCTGACTTCTCCCACAGTCACGTTATTTAGGGAGGAAGACAGGGGGGGAAAAAAAAAAAAAAAAAAAAAAAAGGTGGAAAAGAAAAATGCCAGTAGTGGAGTCACGCAGATTGGTGATATCATGCACTTAAATAAAAAGTGCAGGAAATGGTGTTGGGGAAGACAAGCAATCTTTTAGCAAGACCTTGCACTTAGAATGGCATATTTGTTACCCCTGTGTAAGTCAGAGCCTAAAAGCCTTTGATCATTATAAATTAATTACCAAAGGGAAGAAAATAAAGATTTAATTCTTATAGAGTTCTTTAACAGTCCTTTTTCAATCACTGAAGAAAAAGATATATAAGTAGACACCAGCAAAACTAAGCATTACATCCCCAGAAGACACACTTCATAAAGCTTAATCTTTCTTTGTATATTATAAAATAGATGTCTACACCTGCATCCATCATATCTCTTACTCACAGGAGGAGGGATGCTCAGAAACACTTGTTTCCATCAAATTCATAAAGTAAAAGACAACTCCCAGGCTCGAGTTTTGCACTCGTCGTCTTAGGAAAATAAAAATATGAAAAATCAGGCCCCATGTCTAAATAGACGACGTGAAAATCAAGAAAAGCCCAACGGGTGTGGGGATAGAACGAGGGGTGACGGGTTTAAACTAAATCAAGAAAAGCCCAACGCAAGACGTCTGGAAATGCAGAGCACAGTTTGCATCTTTGTTCTACCGGTATCAGCAGCACTCATTCTGAACTTTGCTTCTCTGGCGTGAGCAGGCAGGAGCTTCTGACGTCTGCCCAAATGGTGACGGTGTTCTCAGCAGCACTGCCCGCACGGGCTGCTGGACGCTCGCAGCTCCGCTTTTCACGTCAGTTAGGCACCAACCACCACAGCTCTGTGCTCGCTAAGTATTCAGTGTAAAACCAGTTTGCACCGTTCTCATCGCTGGCGCGGCAGCGCGCGGCACTCCGTTGGTACCCAGGGGGACGGTGTGTCCGTTCATCCAGTGACACCCTCGAGAATTTCGAGGCTCTTCCCACCACCTCGGCAGTGGCTGCACGCTGCGGGGCTTAGCTTTAATCACCTCATACACTGGAGATATTTTATACCTGGGACGCGGCCCGAGAGAACTCATAACCATCGGGTTCATCTCCTCCGCTCAGACGTACGCTGCTTAACCCGAAGCACTGGACTTAATCTCTGTGTGTGATGGCTCCTCAAGAAGAGGGCAAAGCAGGATAGGATGCCTTTCATCACCAGGGTTAATTAAGCATAATATTCTTGCCAATACCCCCGTCTACAGAACCATAATACATGCACGTTCTACTGTCATCGTGACAGACCAATGGTTTCTGTTAATGACTTGGAAGAAAAACCACCTCCTAGAGAAACTACACAATCTCTTAACTTCCAAGTGATATTTTTAACAATTTCTACAGGAGACTGGATACATACCATTTTTTCTTGCACCAATAGCAGAAATTATTACTGGAACTGAACAATGGTTTAGTGCTTTTTTTATCATTGGGATGTAACTGTCCTTTAGTTCTTGAAATGAAGTCTTGTCATTGACAGAGTATTTAATCACGATGATATCAGCTCCTCCAATGAGATTGCGAGAGGTGTACCAGTCGCTGTCAAATATATCCTAAACAGAAAAAACACTGATCAAAAATCTCCTGTCCATAAAGGAAAAGGTAAACTATTCAACAGTCTTAAAGCAAAACCTTACAGAAGGATTTTTAACTGATAAATTAATCTCTTATTTGAAGACATGAAACAAAGAGCAGAATTCATGCTTTGTCATTTCCTTGTTTGGAGAACAAGTTGTTCATTATAATAAACAACAAATCTCTTTTATGAATTGAGGAATTCTTCAGGAAGAAGAAAAATAGGGTTTATTTAAGAATATACTTTGCAGGAAGAAACTTTACTGGTTTAATTAACTTTCCAATGTGTTCATTAAGGAAATAGAAGCCGCTTCAGTGGTACAGGATTCCAGCATTTCATACAAAACCATTATTTATCATATTATTTTAGGGAAAGGGTTACACAGAACTATGTTATGTGCCTAAGAACATTTAAATACAAGTTTCATCAGCTGAGTGTCATTTTTATCTGCTTCACAAGAGCTTCCACGTAGCTTCAACCAGTGTTAATGTCTCCAGGATAAGGCTTATAATCATATAACTAACTTTCTTTTTTTGACTTCACATTCAATTTGACATTGTTCTGTGTTACGAGTGTAAGACTTACACTTTAAAATTATTTCATATCCTGTTAATTTACAACTGTGTTGTATCCACATGTAATATACAGTTATTACTTGTGTATTTGTCATGAGAACTATAATTTCATCATTTCTACTTTACCTACAGGCAGCTCATAAATACCACGGAAAACCACTGTTTGCACACATACTCAATTGAAAATTCTTGACAGAATTTTGGAACCCAAAAACCTAAAATACCATGATGTGTTGGAACAGAGACTTTATTGCAGCTTTTCAATACTTGAAAAGGCCTTATAAGGCGTTCTCAGCAGCAGAAATGTCACAAAAGTCAGGCTGAGAGAGTTGGGGGGGTTCAGCCTGGAGAAGAGAAGGCTCCGGGGGAACCCTGAGAGTGGCCTCCCAGGGCTTAAAGGGGGGACAGGAGGGGGGGGGGGACTCTGGGTCAGGGGGTGATGGGGATGGGACGAGGGGTAGTGGTTTTAAACTGGGAGAGGGCAGATTTAGGTGAGCTCTGAGGCAGAAATTGTTCCCTGTTTGGGGGGTGAGGCGCTGGCCCCGGGTGCCCAGAGCAGCTGTGGCTGCCCCCTCCCTGGAAGGGTTCAAGGCCAGGTTGGACGGGGCTGGGAGCCCCCTGGGCTGGGGGAAGGGGGCCCTGCCCGGGGCAGGGGGTGGAATTAGATGATATTTAAGGTCCCTTCCAACACAAACCTTTCTGTGATTTTGTAACAGTCCTGTACAAATGCACAGCAGAGCTAGAAGAACTTGGGATCTTGAGAAAAAAAAATGGAAATTAACAATGATGAAATAAAGAAGATGTGAAAGAGAGGAGTAAGTGAGCATGGAAGAAGTGACAAAAGGGACACAAATTTGGGGTTGGAAATGGTCACTATGATTTTGAAGGCCACAGAATAAGATTATTACAGATGGGAACCAGAGAAATATATAAAAGTTTGTTAATATTAACAAGCGGCTTGCATTGCCAATATAATTATTTTTGATCACTTCAGAGGAGTCATTCCTTCAAATCTGTGGTGAGGTAGCTGCAATGCTACAAGGATTGCATGAACTTGACAGAAGTGTATTAGTCAGCAAATATTTGCCTAGACTGTCTTTGCACGTCATACCCAGTTTAGGTCTTGCCTTTACAAATAAATAAATCGGGAAATAAACTTAAAGTATAATAGGCATTCCCATTAATTTATTTAATATATGTCCTTGTTCTGTAATAAGAAAACCACAGACAATAAGAAATTATCAAGAATAGCTAGTCTATGATTCACCATGTTGACAAGAGTTTTAAGAGGACTGGTCCTGGTATTTCTTTTTTTCAGTCAATTCAGTCAGAGACTATTATAATCCCAAACTGAGGAAAATCTCCTCCAGCATTTAACCAAATCATTTAGGCTGTGTTAAGAATATAAAGTAAACACATAAACACATATTTAGCACCTCTAGTAGTAGAACTATCAGCTCCAGTGCTTTGAGACAGCCGGCTAGATGGGCATTTGCAGAACCTGATCACATGGTCAGGCAAAAATTGAGAATTGTCAAGAGACAGCTTTGATATGTTTTAGCTGATGAAGATCTCAAGAGGATTTTTAGTAAGGTTGTATGCATTTAACGCAACAAAGATTTAAGGGAAAAATGCAACACAACCCAAAATTTAATAGAGAATATTTAGTCGTTCTGTGCCGTCAGACAGAAAGCACGCCTGTTGCTTTGTAATTTCCTCCTAGCTCCTGGTTTTCAAGCTCAGCCCAGGCTGGCACATGCCCACCTCTGTGAGCTTGGTGATAACCAGCAGTTTCACCAGCGAGCTCTAGAGCACAGGCGCACAAATACAGAAGAGCTTAACCGCAACGTTAAGCATTAATAATAAAAAATGTTTGTGGAAGCTTCTTAGAGAACGTAATAGGTATTTTTTTAACAGGTAGTGGTATGTTTGTATACGATTTGTAGCTCCCTCCATTTTACAATGGAGCTAAACATGCGGTGCATTATGACACCATTTCATGCTGCCAAACGGAAATATTTTGGAAAGATTTCCAAGTTTTTGGTCCATATGAACACACCTATTCCCAAGGAGACAACCAGCTCTGACTCTCACGTTCAGCTTCAGTACAAGCCTAGTCCTGATCAACAGCAGAGGACAGGGCTTCTGGGTACCAAAGCTGTGGCTCCATCCTGGCACCAGCCCCACCAGAGGACAGGACACCAGGTATCTGATACCACCCAGACACGCACTCTGCTGTGGTCCCAGCCCTCATCCTGGCTCTCCAGGGAGAGCACCATCCAGTAAAATGCCAGCCTGGAAGACCCTCCATGCCCTAACCTCAACCAGGGGCAGCTCTAATGCTCTTCTTGTTGATGGGAATCTCAACGGAGTTTGACTGGCGCTGGTCTGCGCGTGCCTGCTCACGCACACCACGCAAGAGTGACTCAAGAGGTCAATATCGTACAGCAAAGCCACATCAAGGTTTTGTGATTTTTATTTTTCTAATGAGAATAATGCTAATCAGAAAAATAGCTGCATTTAGAAAAACAAAACAATAACAAAAAGAAAATATGGCCATTACCTCGTGTGATTCCCCTACCCTTTTTGTACTTAGCCCAGCTTAGTACATTTCCATCTCTGGAGGTGTGGGGAAAACCAGTAAAATCCTTACTGAAAACAGCCTCACAGGTGTGCAAATGTGCTCCTTTGTTTAACTGTTAGGGAAAATAAATCCTACGGAAACGTGGTGAGGGCTGTTACAGCTTCCCAGGTGTGTGTGGCTGCACGTTGCAGCGGGCTTGTGGAGGTCTGTGCTTTCCGTCACAGCCCTGTGCCGCCACTGTGCGTCCCTGTTAATCCTATCAAGAAGGATTTTACCAAAGTTTATGAAGTTTTGGTGGGGATGGACCCCGCTTTCCCAGGGCAAGGGCCAGCCCTGCGTACGTCGAGAAGTGAAAAATGCAGAATATGCCAACCCAACGTCTCAAGACACCCAATTTCTGTTACTGCGTGATGTCTCCCAGTGCCCTCACTTACTTGATTTAACAGCCCCAAAAGCCCATTATTGTAGATGGATGTCATGTTTAAAAACACAGAGGAGAAAGACAAGTTTCCAGAGGTCTTGTTGCAATTATTTTCACATTGCATCAAGCGTAACATAGACTGCTGGGATTGCTGCTCTGTGCTGGGAAAATCCTCCAAAAACATCCCCAACAACAAAGGGTTATTTGCCCGAGGCATCACCGAGACAGAGCATCTGGAGCCCCCTTGATTATCACTTTTAGGGAAGCTTTCATGCAGAAATGACAGAGGGAATTTCTTTAGACGATGAACAACAGTTCAGATCCAGGAATAATGTTAATTCCAGGCTCCCTCTATGAAATTTATGTAGCAGCTACTTCTCACTGCTCTTCCTGCTCTTGTCATTTCCCAAGAGAGCCATTGACAAAAGGGAAAAGTAACTGCATAGCTAAGGTTATTATAATATGACCTTAGTAATTATAATTATACTCCTGCCACTATTCCTCTGAGGACTTATTAGAAAAAAGCTTCATTCTTTCCTTGCATGTCTCCATTGTACACGCCTCATAATATATTCTTCCCATTAGTAAATCATACTTCTCAAGCATTAACGTTGAAAATAAAGCCTCCAGAGGCAATGAAGACCCGATTTTCCTACAAAATCACATGACCTCTCGAGAGGACAATACTTGCTTTGTTAAAAATAATTTATGAATGCCTTTATGGAACGGCAGTGAAATCCACTGTGCCCTTGTAATGCCCACACTCTTTCTAAAAGCTGCTTGCAAATGTCCCCATGTCCATCCAGCCCAGCCCTTGATCTGGGGCAGCACATGCTCTCTGGGGGGGACGAGGGAGCCTGGACACCCCTGAGGACCATTCCTCTGGGATTTCCCGGGGATACAAGAGGGCTGCACTGGGAATATTAGAAAACTCATCCCTCTATAAGTTCCCCCTACAAACCCACTCTCCATTAACAGAGCCTTCTTTCCAGCAACGCTTTCCGCATGACATATCAGACCCTTCCCTGGTTTTTCAAGGTTTCTCTGCATTTTCTCATCAGCCAGGTCCACAGCAGAACAAATTTTGCAGGTGTACTCTCCATAAGTTACTAGACCCCTGAACTTACTCAGCTAAGTAACACGAAGCATAGAAGGAAGTATTTTCTTCAGAAATCAATGAAATTTATTCCACAACCCTGGAATGCCAATTTGTTTTTCACTCGAGGCTTTCCAAAACAGCTTTAACTGGTTGAGTTGACCCAGAAACAAAATTAATGAAGGATAGCATTGTCCTGTGATGTCCTCTCATAAAGTAATTTAATAATATTTGTAAAAAGCAAAAATAAAGAACACAGTAGGGAAAAACATTTACTAGGATATGATCATTTGTTGTAAGCTGCCAACTCCAGACAATCAAGCTTAAAAATGAAAAGGGATAACATACTAAAGAATGAAAAGTTGAAAGCTGTGGTTTTGTACTGGATTACTAAAAGTAATAAATAAAATTTAAAAGTGAATCAGATTCCTTTACCTTTAGACATGTTAAGGGCTGGCCAGCCTAGACAGTGCAAGAAGCACAAGGAAACCCAAGTAACTACACCATGGATAATACCATGGAGATAAGGAAGCTCGCAGAGTTCAAGGAACTAGTACTGCTGGTGCAAAAAAAAAAAAAAAAATCTAAAAGAGACAGAAAAACAAGAAAACACTCATGGAAAGAGATTGTTGAAAGGTAGAATTTGAAAAAAATAATTCACAGAACAGCTTTTTAAAATCACAGTTAATATATTTGAGCACTGTAGAGTCCCATCGAGGTCTGCAGCTCTGTGCCAGCCTCTGAGCAGGCACAAACCCAGCACAGCATCCCTCCCTCCGCGAGAGCCTCACCCAGCACCAGGCACTCTCCAAAACCCCGCTGCTCTGCTGTCTCCTTTTAGAATCACAGACTCACAGACTGGTTTGGGGTTGGAGGGACCTCAAAGCCCCCCCAGTGCCACCCCCTGCCCCAGGCAGGGCCCCCTTCCCCCAGCCCAGGGGGCTCCCAGCCCCGTCCAACCTGGCCTTGAACCCTTCCAGGGAGGGGGCACCCACAGCTGCTCTGGGCACCCGGGGCCAGCGCCTCACCCCCCGCACAGGGAACAATTTCTGCCTTAGAGCTCACCTAAATCTGCCCTCTGGCAGTTTAAAACCGTCCCCCCACTCGTCCCATTCCCACCCCCTGACCCAGAGTCCCCCCCCCCCCCCCCTCCTGCCCCCCCTTTAAGCCCTGGGAGGCCACTCTCAGGGTCCCCCCGGAGCCTTCTCTTCTCCAGGCTGAACCCCCCCAACTCTCTCAGCCTGTCTTTTGTGACATTTTTGCTGCTGCGAATGTGATGATGCCAGTGATTCTGTAGAAACTGGGCAGGGAGAACAAAAAATTTCCAGAGATGGTTCCTCCGGGGAGTGTGTGTGTGTGTGTGTGTGTAAAAAACAACAACAAAACAAAGACAAAAACAACAAATAAAACCACAAAATAAGGTGGCTCACAGAGGCAAAAATCTCAAAAGGACAGCAAGACCCCCAGCCCAGGATCAAAACATTCTCATATCCTCAGAATCCTGATCCACATAAGGGAGGAAAGATCAAGAGAGGTGACGTGGGTAGGGGACACTCAGAGTGAAGTTTTCATTCTGCCATTTATTTTCCAGCATCATAATTAAATGAATCACAATATGAACTCTAGCTCTTATGCTATGCTTCATTCTAAAGTTGAGGAAGATTCACCTGCCATCAGATATTACAAACTTTGCCTGCACTTTTTCTTCAGTTTTTACTTGTACATATGCAGAAGCGTAACAAAATTCAGTGTAAAGTGCCCAAAGACGCAAACTACATGCAAGCCAATAGAACGGCAACTCAGTCCCAAAAACTGTCAAATTTGAAACAGAGTGCTAAGTAAAGCCACCTTTTTTTAAAGCAAATCTTAAAATTCCTCTTGCAAATTACTCCTTCTAAGATACTAACTCCCATGCTGAGTTTTACCCCCCAAAAATTAGACATCATAATTCAACATGCTTTACAAGAGCACAACTCAAGCATGCATTAGCAACTGATCAGCTATTAAAATCACAATATTCAGCATCGATGTTAGCACACATATACATTTTCCCTAGCTCTTTATATCTCTCCTCGTCTTGGGTCTGCATTTTTTATGAAAATGTTTTCCAGCCATGTGAATCACAAGGATGTCAGGCCACTCACGTGTCTGTCCCCTGCGTGTGGGAGATACTGGGATCCAGCTTTGCCAACGCAGCGCTGGACACGGCGGGCCGTAGTGACATACCCAGTGACTGACACACGGAGGTCACCGCTGTGAACAGTGACATTTTGCCCCCAGATTTTGAAAAGTATGCCCCATGACCTTCTCTACAACCCCGAGTCACCTGCATGAATGAAAACATCCTTCCCACGCCAGCACTTCCATCCTGCACCCTGCAACTGCCACGGGAAAGAGCTTCTCACAGCATGCTGCCGCTGTTCTGCACGTTGGCAAACATGAATTTATCCCTGTAATTGTCCAAGCAAGCAATACCAAAGAATGTAGTACCTGGACAGGTGGCTAAAATATTTACAGAGCCGCTGTGTGAAAACAGCAGTCCCACGGCAGGTTGGAAACACGGTTCCCCCGCGCCTGTCTGTAGCATTTGATGGGCATTGCTTTGGGTGATCACGCAGAAGCCTTGCTTGCCTTCCCTGCAGTTTGGCATCTGCCTTCAGTCACCCTCAGCTTATAAAACACCGTGCTCTCACGGCACCGCTGCTGCCACTTCACCGACCACGTGCCCGCCGGGACAATGCCACCACGGCAGCGCTGACCCCACGGTCCACACCTTTCGTGCTTCTCCAGCCCATCACTGCATAAGGACTTCGGCAGCTGCTGGAAAACCTTGCTGCAGCACTGCCAGAGAGGCATGCAACACGTCGTAAAATGCCCATAATGCCACCAGGAAGAGTCCAACCAAAGTCACTCGGAGCCGTTGGCTCCTCCTGCAGACTCCAGAAGTTGAGCAGGTGTCCTGGGCTGACAAAGACACCGCAGCAGCAGAACGAAACACGAGCAAACTCACCCTGTACCACCATCTATCTCACGAGAGGGTCCCCCCCCCCAAGCACAAGGGAGCTCTGCTTGGTAAACTTGCATCCACGCTGCTTTTCCAGGCTGGTAGCTGTAGAGGACAAAGAGCTCAAGGGCACCCTTGAGCTTGGAGACTCACAGCTATCAGCATGCTCAGTTGCCAAGATTATGTCAAAGACTGACTTGCCTTAATAATAAGGATTCAATCTAGGAGAGATACAGATCTCAGGTAAAATGTAAATCCACCTTCATGTTATGCTCAGACAAGGTAGAAATAATGCAGGGCCCAGCACACCACCACCTCTGCGTTTCAGTAACATGCCAGAAGAATCATTCCCATGAGGAATGTGACCTAAGGCAATGTCAGTCAGCATTTTGGACTGTGCTGTACCATTTCCCCAGGCTACCAGAGGAAAAGACCACCACGAAGTAGCAAACCTCAAGCATCTGGACTGTGGAAACCAATCCTGTTCTGCCTAACCCCAGCAAGGACACAGCTTTGCTCAGAACAAATAACCTCCTGCAGAGTCCAGTGCAGCTATCTGAGATGCCTTCTGCTAAGGAAAAAACGCCAATTGTTCCTCACCATTCCCAGTAAGAAACCTCCTGCCTCCTTTAGCTGAGAAAGGAGGAAAGCAAGAGGGCTCAGAAACATAATGCTGTGGGCAGTAACGAGCTAGCTTTTCAAGGGTAAAAGTAATAAGGTCCCCGGAACTGAAGAACCTTGTCTGGTTTAAGAGCAAATACAAATAAAACAGCATAAAAACACATGAACCTCGTCTCCACCCTAGGTCCTTTCCTCTGCCCTTCCCCAGCTATCCCTGCCTGCCTTCCCTTACCAATCTCCAATCCCCTGAAACTCCCTTTGAAGTCCGACAGCCTTAATTTATATTCAGAGGTTTCACTCATTGCTGCGCTCCAATGACTCCAGCAAGCTGCACGTGCAGGTCACATGCAGCTTCAAAGATTAAGAACAGGGTCCCCCCCATCCATCTGAACCCGTGTCTGTACGTGCAGCTGACAGAAAAGGGTCAGAAACAGAGAACAGACTGATAGCTAAACTAGACCACTCCGTTTTAAGATTACAAACATCTGATCGTGTATTTCTGGAACTGTTTGGATTCCTGCAGATTCCAAAACAAGTTTCCCTTACAGGACTGCAAAAATCAATATAAGGGTAGAATTATGGAGCTGAAACTGATTATTGTTTTAATTTCTAAAAGCTGATAAGCTTTATTTTTTTAAAAGGCTACTAAATAGTCATTAAATATGTTTTAATTTAGATTATCAGTATCAATTCTTACATAATCATTGATCTGCTCATAGTCATAACTAAGTTATCTCACTTAGTGACAAAAGTGCTGGCAACCTGGAGCAGTGCCCAAATCCTCTTTATTTACCTTTAAATAAAGGAAGTAATACTAAACCGTGATTATTCATTATAACTGAAGTGAAATGACCCCATATACTGTATTTTGAGATACCAAGCCTTATAATCTGTCATTTTTCAAAGCTGAAAAACTGGCTGCCTTTTAATTTTTACAGAAAAATCTATACATTTTGTTTTATTGTTGACAAGTATTTGGAGACAACGTTTGTGAGGCAGTGTGACAAAAAAAAAAAAAAAAAAAAAAAAAAAAAAGAGGGTTCTCTTTACCTGTGGACTATCTTCAATAAAGTTTTCACTCAACGGCACAGTTTAAAATATCACCTTCCTACAGAGGAGATGGGCACTTGCTCTTTAATGAGAAACTTTCTGTAGCACCTTCAAGACTTCACAGCATTTTCCTGGTTACAATTTATATGGTTTCCCTATTTACAATAATTAATATATGAATAAAATCTCACAGTAATGCAAATAATTTAAAGTGGGGGTGCATTTTAATCTGGTTAAAACTGCTTAGACTGTTAAAAGGGGTTAAAAATATTGAGACCAGTATCTTACCCAGCCAGGACAGTCGCGCACCACCAGTCTGACATTTCCAAACACGCAGGCTTGATACTCTGTGAAAACTGGGATTCCAACGTGACTGGCAGACAAGCTGCTGTCGATCTGGGAAACGAGAGCACTTCTCCCGAGGTAGCTCCGGATCAGGCTCAACTGCTGATTGTCTTCAGAAAACCCATCTCTCTCATTCCCAAAGGCTACAATATTAAGCAACCTAAAATAGAAATAATAAAGACAAAGCCGTGTTCGAAAAGATGAAGTGCAGGGATAAGAGAAGAAGAAAAAAAAAAAATTAAAAATCCCCGCAAATCAAAACTAACACCTTAATCCTTCAGAATCCTCCTCCCTCCCTAGATTTCAACACCCACCCCCCACGACCAACAGCAAAACACATACATGTTCTCAAATCCGACGGCAGGATGGGAGCAAAGCGGAAAAGCGACCTGGGAACGCCGCTTGCATGCCGAGTCCCCGGCTGGCTCGGCGCCCCGCTTGCTGTCGCCCGCGCTCCGCCTCGCCGGGGCTCCTGCCGCGTTCCGGCCGGCCCGGGCCCCGCGGCCCCGCGGCCCCGGGGCACCGACCGCGGCCGGGGCTGCCGCAGCGCGGGGGGCTGGGAGCGGCCACAGGGACAGCGGCGGTAAAGGCGGCAGCAGCGGCGGCGGCGGGGGCGGTAAAAGCGGGAGCAGCGGCAGCAGCGGCAGCAGCGGGAGCAGTAAAATCAGCAGCAGTGGCAGCAGTGGCAGCAGCAAAGTCAGCGGCAGTGGTACCAGTGGCAGCAGTAAAATCAGTAGAAGCAACAGCAGTGGCACCAGTGGCAGCAGCGGGAGCGGTAAAAGCGGCAGCAGCGGGAGCGGTAGAAGCAGTAGAAGCAATAGCAGTGGCAGCAGTAGAAGCAGTGGCAGCGGCAGCAGTAAAATCAGTAGAAGCAACAGCAGCGGCAGCAGTAAAGTCAGCAGCAGTGGCAGCAGCGGCAGCAGCGGGAGCGGTAAAAGCGGGAGCAGCGGGAGCGGTAAAAGCGGCAGCAGCGGCAGCAGTAGAAGCAGTAGCAGTGGCAGCAGTGGCAGCAGTAAAATCAGTGGAAGCAATAGCAGTGGCAGCAGTAAAGTCAGTGGAAGCAATAGCAGTGGCAGCAGTAAAGTCAGCAGCAGTGGCAGCAGTAAAATCAGTGGCAGTGGCACCAGTGGCAGCAGTAAAATCAGTAGAAGCAACAGCAGCGGCAGCAGTAAAGTCAGCAGCAGTGGCAGCAGCGGGAGCGGTAAAAGCGGCAGTAGCGGCAGCAGTAGAAGCAGTAGAAGCAATAGCAGTGGCAGCAGTAAAATCAGTGGCAGCGGCAGCAGTAAAATCAGTGGCAGTGGCAGCAGTGGCAGCAGTAAAATCAGTAGAAGCAATAGCAGTGGCAGCAGTGGTAGCAGCGGGAGCGGTAAAAGCGGCAGCAGCGGGAGCAGCGGCAGCAGTAAAGTCAGCAGCAGTGGCACCAGTGGCAGCAGCGGGAGCGGTAGAAGCAGTAGAAGCAATAGCAGTGGCAGCAGTAGAGTCAGTAGCAGTGGCAGCAGTAAAATCAGCAGCAGCGGTGGCAGCAGCCCGGGCGCTGATGTCCCTGCGCTCCTCGGCGGCTGCGGGTGAACTGGGGGCGCTCGGCCGCTCGGTCACGGCCATCGCATCCTGACGTCAGGAGGCAGGAGCCCCGCACCCGCCGTGGGCAGAGCGAGATGATGCTCCCGCGGAGCCCCCCACGCCGCCCGTGGGGGGGGGGGGGGGGGGTCGGCGATGGGGGCCGTGACGGCGGGGCACGACTCTGCTGCAGAAAAGGGGCGAAGCATCACGATGCCAGGTCGCTGGCGCAGCTCATCCAGCCCCGGGGGGCCGCCACAGCTGAAGGGGAGAGCGGCGTGAAGACCCTCTCTTAAAGTATTTAAACATTTTTATTTTTATTTTTTTTTATTTTTTATTTTTTTTTGCAGTTAAATACTATCTGTTTTTTCAATAGCAGGCTGATAATTTCCTAAACGCCACGTAGATTTCTTAGCATTCATGTAATGTTTAAAGCACTGTCTTCAAAAAAAAAAAAAAAAAAAAAAATTAAAAATCTGTAACTACAATAAAACAAACACAAATACCTGGAACCAAATCCATTCTAAAATGGCATGTTCTCTGCCAGATACCACTATACACATTAGAGTAAAAAAACAGAGTAAAAATATTTGAGGCACACTAAATCATAAATAAACACTCTCTGTTAGGTGAACACAAGTTGCTGTTAATCCCGCGGGCAAGAACTCATTCAACACAGGTTTTCATACAATTATCAACAGAATAATTAACAGATCTTTCCCTGCAGCAGCCCATACTCCGAAAAAGGTGCTATTTCACTATTGGCAAATGTGGGAGACAACAACTGATGTCACTGACAAAGTTTCATACCTATATTGTATTGAATGGCCAGGCCATTTTAAAAAATAGTAAGCATTAATATCTGTTGTATGATAATTAAGTCAAATAGGTTTTATATTTTTATTATAAATTCTGCAGTGCCTACTGAAAAACAAAAAAGAAAAAAAACAATAAAACCCACACTATAAAACAAAAGAAAACAACGACAGATAGTTTATCAACATTATTTCCCCCACATTTTATCACATGCCAGCTTCTCCTCCTCTTTAGCCTAGCTTTGCTTAGAAACATAAAAGACAAATGACAGGTAGAGGTTCTGGGTTTGTTCTCTCCCCTCCCCTCACCCCCCCCCAAAAAAAAAAATACAGAACAACAAACCCCCAAACAACTTTGAATCAATGTTTCTCAGGTGAGTTTAAAAAGTAGGCAGTCAAAGGAAGCCACTGTTTTTTCCCCCAGATGACCCTCAGACTGGGATGCATCGTCCTCCTCATCCAAATCCTCAGTAGTGTCCAAACACTGGATATATGAGGCTCGTTCTGTGAAAGCCAGCATACTCAGAGACATCACACCCTTGCAAACATGTCTATTAGCGTACTCTTTAAAGGGCACTGGATATCCCTGGGAATCCTTAAATTTGAACTTGTAGTGTTCTAGATATTGAAAGTGAGGAAATGCTTGAGAGAAAAGTTCTTTACAACACCAGCGAGCATAACCTCGTGTAACTAAACAAACAAAGAAATATGCACACACATCTACACATACACAAATATATATCCATGCATATATTAACATACATGAATACATACACATATACACAGGCAGGCATGCACGCACACAGAGAATTATAACACCAAGAAAAACTGGGCTGGTAAATAAGGCAGCCCTAGTGAAAAGTGACCCAATTAATGCGAATGCCAATTAGCACACCTTAGCCCTTCCTGCGGACCTAGCCCTGCCCAACAGTGCGACGGTCAAGAGTCCCAACAGAGATGGAGAATCCCAGAAAACATTGGTTTTCCTCTCACTTCTTCCGCAAACCACCTGGGAAACTAATTAGGACTGCCAGAAGCATCAATTCTGGAAAATTAGAAGTTGAATACCCATTTGAGGATATTCAACTAGGATATTCAAACACTTCGGCCAGCAGGCATCTGCCATTGCTATTGACATACAAAGACAAACCTGCAGAAGAGGGAGTTTTTGACAAGGTTCAGAAAACAATGGCAAATTTTGTCTTGTGCACTTTACACTGGAACACTATTATTTGAGTTCAAATCATTTCTGTTGAAGATTTCTAGCAAGTACCTCAGCTAAAGCAATGAAAACAAATACGCAGTCCTTGCTGATGAAAAGAGATAACTGCCACCAAGTCAAGGAGAAGGATTTCCAGTTTGTGGAACATGTAGCCTTAGTTGTACTGATCCACACACGACTAACAGGCCCGTGTATTCACGACAGTGAGGGGATTTAATGCACTTGGAATCCAAGCTGTTGCCAAGCCCACTCGTTAGCTGAGTCTGCACACTGCACAGAGCTGATGATGAAGATGCTCTGAGCAGCTTCAGATGCACAAGAAACTGCGTTTTTCTAGGAGAGGTAAATTTCCAGCAGCTTTTTTCAAAGATAGAAGATGGCCCCGGGTAACAGTAGTACAGTTTGCTGAACAGAGGTTTTTCCTCCTAACATTGCAAAATACAAGCTGTGATAGTCTGGACTTTATCGGTGGTTGTCCACACAAGAGCTCACTGCAGCGAGATCTGCCAGCCAAAACCTCCTGCACGGACAAAGCACCAGCAAACAAAAGGAGTTCTTCTGTTGATATAGCCATCTGCCACATCCAAACCAACAAACCCCTCCTGCATGTGGGAAAGTGAGCAATGAACGGTGGGACCACTACTATTTTTCTGTACAACTGTGCCAGAAAAGTGGTGTAGGGTGGATTGGTCTTGGAAGCACATTTTTTATTTCCCCCACACGAATACTCGAGCCAGTTCCAGAGATGGCACAGGCACTCGCAGACAGATGTTTCTGTCCCTCCAGCCCAGCAGATTTCACTGTCGCCTGCTTTCTAGAAGTCACTGGTGGAGACATCAAAAGAAAACAACACAGATCTCAAGACTGTTGTACCAAGCTGTGGAATCTCCATCCTTGGAGGCATTCAAGGTTTCATGGGAAAAGTCCTTGTGCAATCTGAGGTCATTAGACATGTTTGGAGTGGAGGCTGGGTTAGATGACCTCCAGAGGTCTCTTCCGATCTGAATTATTTCCTGACTCCACAAATCCCTTCCCTCCTGGAGAGTGACCACTAAACCCTGTCCTTCACTTCCTCTTCTTACACCAGCTTTCAACCCGAAAACCAACCTCTCGTCCAATCTTGTGGCAACTTAGTTTCTCTGCACAGTTTAATAAGCTTTGCAAAAAGCCTCTCAAAGGCTTTTTGAAAATGCAAGAGGATTATTATGCCCACACGACCCTCTTTATTGGCATACTTACCGCCCTTCCTCCAAATGCCAGGGATGCTGGACTTCACTGCAGACTCTCCAACACTTTCCCAACAGATTATGTTCCACCACATGTCCCTCGATCTCAGTCTCTACCACAGACTGTGTCATGCCACCAGGAACGGCAGCAAGCCCCGTTGCTTTGGCATTCCCCAGACCCTGCTAAGGAAGTTTTTGGACATACTGGCAGCCTCCGATGACACTTCCAGTGATACACAGACCCCAGACAGAGTTTGTGGATTCTTATTTGAGTTTCTGAGGAACACGCTCATAAATGTTATGTGCTGCTGGCCACTTATTAATATCTACTTTAACTGGGTTTTTTCTAGCATTCCTGTATCAGATTGAGTAATGTAGTATCAGCCCAATATTGAATCAAAAGTATGAAGGAGGCGGAAAAAGATGGGATGCGGAAGAAAAATGACATTTTTTTTTTTTTAATTTGAACCAGATCCGGTTCGTAGCAGAACAGAGCTGCGAAAGCAACTACTGAGTTGTGGAAAGCTGCTAACGCTGTGAGGGTGAGCCGTGGATTACCAGAAGCCAGGTCTGCTGCTGCAGAAGTCCAGCCCGAGGACTGCCTTCCGAGCTTGCCCCCTGCAGCGGCGAAGGCAGCGAGGTCCAGCGTCAGGAGGAGGGGACCCCTTTGGTGCCTGCACGCCCCAGCCTGCTGCAGGGATGAAGGGCTGAACACATTGCCTGCTGCGGAAGAAGAAGAAGACAACCCATCCACAGTGGTAAGAATCCCCAGCGGTAGGTGGACAGCTGCACCACGTAATTCTCACGCCATTGTTTAAGAAGTGTCACTAGTTGCGTTGGAACACAGCTCAAGGGATCAAAAAAAAAAAAAAAAAAAAAGTAGTTTATCTGTTATTCCTGCTGTTTTTAGAAACAGAAGCCACTGCCCCAAGGTGGGTACGGACCATCACGTCGTGCAGAGGAGGACCATCCCCACCCCAGTCTGGCCCAGTTCTCCTGGTCGAGGCTTGCTGGCCTGGGCTGGTGCCGAGGCTGAGCTGCAGGGAGAGGCGGGGATGGAGCGAGCACCAAGGGGGTTGGGGAAGGGGCAGGTGCTCCCCGCCAGAGCGGGGGGGAAAGGTCTCTTCTGGGGTGGGGGATCAAACTGCTCCGCAGGTCTCTGCTGCCTGGGTGTCCCCTCCCACGAGGGGTGCGGGGGGGAGGCGGGAGCACCTCGGCAGGAGATGCTGCCGTAGTTTGGGGGCAGGGGAGGGATGGCATACGCTCAGCGTGTTTTGAAATTTCTGGACTATTTTAATCCACTTTATGATCCCCTGGATAAGCGCTTAAGACCGAGTGACCGAGCGCGTGAATTCTGCAGGGAGACGTGCCTCAGACTGCTTAACGTGCTCCTGCAGAGGCTCTGCCCTTTGCCTGCCCACAGTTTTGTCCACTAATGCGTAAAGTTTCTGGTTTTTCTTACTAAAAACATACCACAGGTGTGCGGGTAGCATTCATTACATCAGGTAAATGAAAATGATCTAATAATGTCAGCTAAACATGTGTGTTAATGTGCATAAGAAAATTAAAGAACAAAGGACATATTTAGATATGCATATATCTGCCATATAGTATACAGATAACAAAAACAGTTATTCACCTATTGAAGTTGTAAGTTCTCAATGAATCATAAATAAAACTTCATCACGAGTAAGTTTCCTGTTTAAAGTCACCTTCTAGCCCTTTCTATACAACCCCAGAATTAAAAGACAGAACACTTTGTTAATTACCTTTTCTTATACAGATGTTAAGCATCTTCCAAGTGGCCACTGGATGGCCATTTCATATTTAAAAAAGCAATTTTGGTTTCCAAAAGTCCAAAGACCCAGTTCAGAGCTAGACTTTAAATCGGCCGTTTCTTTTTTATTATATTTCTATTTTGCTGATTTCTGCTTTCTTGTTTTCCCTTCTGTCACGATTTCACTTCCATTTAATACTCCTAGTTCTCAGCCTCCTCTGCTCTCCACATACCTCTAACTACGGAGGCATGTATCGAGGATGATCTGTGTGTGGTAGCTGAATGTTCGTCGTGGATTCGAATGTTGTCCTTATTTCTTTCACTGTAACAGAAAATCACTTACTCTTAGTCTCATAGCCTCTCTCATTCTCCTGCACTCTTATATTACTTATTCCAGAATGGCAGCCCACTCTCAAGAGGTATTTGGCTGTCCAGGAGCCCTTGCTGGCTGACAACTGTGCATGTGATGTGAGAAATGGCACGAGATAAAAGGACATAAATGAAAATGTCTCTATAAATGGATTATTTTTAAGAACAGAAGCCAACGAATGACTGTTTTCCTGACACAGACCCTGGGTATATTATGGATAGTCACACAAGTGTTCTGGTTTTGGCTGTTGTCTCCAAAGGAGTGTTAAGTGAGGTGTTAATTGGGTGTTAATTGAGGCCAAAGTTTACTACTAAGGGCTGATGTATGGATGGTATGGACAAGGTGGCTCTCTAAGCGTTGCTTCCTCTGGAAATCAGGCTGGCAGTAGACCCTTCTGAAGAGGAGGGAGATGGAAAGTCACAGCACTGTGTCATTTTTTATTTTCATAATAGGTTTTTTTTGAATTTTTATTGCTGTTGATTTGGGGGTTGGGTTGTGGTTTGTTTGGTTTTTTTTTTAATTTTTTTTTTTGTATTAGAAGTGCACATCTGGAATAAGGACAAGGACCAGGACAAATATGGTAAGTTTTCACTTTAAAAGTTTTCAATAAAAAGTTGACATGTCTGAATTCCAGCTCTCCAAATGGAATATGAAACCTTGTTTTAATCTTTAAATCAGTACTGTACTTTTATGCTTTACTTTCTCTAAGTTGAGGTAAATAAAAGTAACCACAAATTACCTTGTATTTGCTGTTGGTCTAGAGTTTGCATAGATATAAACTGACTGATTAGCACTAGATACTGGCTGGTAACTAATTTTAGTGTTTATTGCTTTATTAACAGTATTATAATTGCAAGAAAAATGAGACCAGAAGGCCAGACTGAACAGTGTGAAAGATGATCTGCTCAGAGACAATAAAAATAGATTAGCATTAAGGACCCACATTTTTCATATTTAAAAAAAAAAAAAATCACTTACAGAAAAGAGCAAGAAGAGGAATTTTCGTGTATTGTGGCAATATACTATTCTTGCGACTGCAGAAGAATGGAAAGAATTGTCAAATAGTTTGGGAAAGGAGCTAGCAAGCAATTGCAGAGAGAGTTAGTTGAGCTGGATAAAAAGAACACACATACAAGTTACGTGTCAGGTTTGTTTTCCACTTAGCATCTACAAAGGTCTAGCAAACATTGCAATCAGTACATTGCCTAAACTTTCTTTTTTACTACTTCTGCTTTCTTTTTTCATGGCAGGTGTGTTGCTTTTCTGATGCTTTATAAATTTCCATCTACTTCTCTTCTATTAACTTCACAGTAAAAAGTTATGCTTTGTTAATATAGACGAATGTGATTTTATTTGAACTTTTCCCCTCTTTTCTTCTTTGTTTGAATCTTTCTTCTTCATTTCTTAAACTTAACTTTTTCTCTATTGAATCATAAGAAAGAATAAAATTGTCTTCAAAAATCGTGTTCATAGCCTGTTAAGATCTCACGTCCCAGTTTAAAACTGAAGACAGAAGCTGCATATAACAAATAGCATCAATTTTATTATGGCAAAGGTCCTATTTTTCCTTACTTTCATTTCAGATGCACTGGATAAGTCTCCAGATAATTAAGATGTTCTGGCATTCTTACAGTGTAAGTATAAACAGTAAATACTGTTAAAGGGTAAGATTTTAGGCACACATTTGACATGTTTTTTTTTCCTTCTCTGAACTGATTTACAATAAAATTCAGTCTTTTTTTCTCCCAGAAAAGATTTGGCAGTTCTTGGTTTGGTTGTGATTATTTTTATATATATTTGAACCAACGGTGATCTTCACTCAGTTTTCTACAGGGAAGGTCTTTAATTACATAGTAATTTTCAGTTACGTATTTGGCAACAACTTATGCTATAGTCTTGAATGTAGATTGGTATCTCCAGAAATCTTGCCAGCGTTGCCAAACAATGCTTTTTTGTCTAACAAAATTAGGAAAGTAGGGGCATGATGTTCAGAAAAGACTAAGCAGGGCAAAACGTTTGGGAGCAAGGTAGAACGAAGTGTAAAATAAGTTATAAAGAACAATATCAATTGTGTTTTGTCTTTAATAGCAATAGGGGTTTTCTACTATCTTCTAGGTTTATAGACTTTCCCATAGACTTTACAGACAGTAGTTTATTCAAGAACATCCCTACGAGACAGTTCTATTCTCTTCTTTGGTTTGCTTCTGGCAAAAATGTGTTCTGCCCAGAAAATATATTCTGGTTTTACATTTAGTTTCCCCCTCAGAGAGCCAATGCTCAATAAAGTCTGTGTGCAACGATTTACGCAGCTTGTGCTTATTAACGAAAGCATTTTTAAGTGAGTTCAAAACAAAATACTATACAGCATCTTTACTAAAACAAAAATAAGTTGTGCTTTAAGTCCAGCAATGGAGTTACTTAATGTCTGGCCTTTCCTCTTATTTCCTATCCATTACATGAAAACATCAAAATTTAAAAGAAAAAACATAAATGGAACTTATTTGAAAAGATTCGGTCTTTAAGCATATTCTACATTCTGTATCAGTCAAAACATTCATACTAATTTAAAACTAAGCTGTCAGCAAAGTAATGAGTTAGTATATAGAAATATTTTATGTGACACATGTCTACAGATTGCTAAATGGGATTTAAATAATTGAGTTTTAATCTTATTTTGGGACATCTATGGTTCAATATGTACTTCTCCACTAGCAAACCTGTTGTTTTATAATCCACTCCTTTTATGAGTTTAATTCCTGACCGAGAGAAGCTTGAAACAACCGGTCAGTAAGATCAACAAATCTGACAATACCACCTACAAAATTTCTGAACTCTAAAAAGTAATTAGTTCAAGCCAGATATATTCCACAGGAACCTCAGATGGAGTGAGAGTAGGCGCTTCAAAAACCTTACCCACCTTCTTGCGACCTGTGTCACGGTATGGAGCATATATGGTAATTGCCTACCATTAACAACATCTCCTCAGAAGCTCCAGAATTTCTAGACTGAACAAAGATGAACTTTCCACAGTGAGTGATCAAGACATTTGCCTGTGATGAGAAATGAACATTTTATGGTTTTGATGTTTTGAATTCTGCTGATAGTATTCTGCATCTGTCTGAAGTTGTGTCTCACTCACAGTAAAACAACTTTTTTAAGAGGGTAATGAAGAAAACTTAAAAGAAAATGGGCAGTGTAATATCTTGCCTGTGACGAGACAGTATTTTTTTGCAAGGATGAGGATGAGCCCTTCATTGTTATCTTCATGAAAATCACATCACTCATTAGGGATGGTAAATCCTTCAGCCTGATTATTGTGGGTGATGGTCATTCACAAGCAAACCCTGAGCACTCCTGGGGAGATGGAGGTCCAGGCCCCCCTTTTATAAATGAAGTTTATAGAAGCAGTACCAGACACCCTGCTACTCCACTGCAAGTGGAGTATTCCCATGAATCTTAGAAATTTTACCAACATCACAGAATTCTCTTGGTGTTCGAAACCCTCCTGAGATGGGGTGCAAGGTTTGGGAGGGGGGGGGGGGGGTCAGACCTCAGCCCTTGCTGCTGCAGGAGGTGTTCCAAAACCAGGGGCTGTGCCCTGCTGCTGCCTCGTGGTCTGTACAGAAATTCTGAAACGGACTTTTATGGAGGATGGATTTTACTGAAGGAGCATCGGAACGCCGACCCTTATTCCCTAGCAAATATCCAAACGGTCGCCGTGGATGTATATAGAATGTATGCGTTAAAACAACAAGCCAGGGACTTAAATACAAAGACTTCTCGTTGATATTGATCTCTAAGCTCATATCAGGCAGGCTGCAAAGGGTAAAGATGGATTTCCCTCATTCCTAATTGCCAATCTTTTGATTCTTTGTCCTCGGTCTCATTTCAGTTGCCATGTACACTCTGATGGCAAGACCACAATTTTTGATATCAATAAAAGAAATTCTCCCCACTAGCCTGCAGAATCTGGACTCATTATTTAACAGCCTGAGACACTTAAAGTAACTGAAGAATGGCATCAGTTTCTGTATGGATCAACCTTTTAGGGTCTTTTTGTACAACGTTGTGTGAGGATGAGGACTGGGGTGGGTTCTGTTTGCACAAACCATATGATGCTCTGCAGAAGAACAGCAGTGATGCACGAGCAAAAATTCAAATGGAGTACAGCAAAGAATGATGAAATAGTAAGAAACTTCAAATATATCAATTTAGAAGGTATAACCACTGGTATACGGTGTTGAGAGAGAATTAAAACAAGTTCACAAAGTCATTTCTTATTAGAATATTAAGGAGGGGCGGGCAAACCAATCCATCTTTACTTCTGTGACTTTAAAAGTAATTCAATACTAGCTTTATTGTGTCAAAATAAACAACCAGATTAGCACATTCATTTTCTATGATTGCAACCAGCAGAAGTTTCGCTTCTCTTGTCTCCCTTTGGGTGATGAGCTACCCGTATTGTGAAATTATCTTCAGTGGATACTTACAGGCTATTACAAAACCGTGGTTCCTCAGAGGCTTCTCAGGTAAGTGCTGGTCTAGAATAAAGTCATGCCAAGACAGAGATGCATTTGGGAAAACACCATTGTTTTACAAATAGGTTCCTGTTGAACGCCATAGCTCCCAGAGGGAGACCCTGCAGAACAGTTTATTTGGCTCTCCTAGCCAGATCCCCAGATGGCAGAAAAATAAAATATTAGTGCGTCTCTCTGCACTTCTGTCTTCTCAGAACATCATTCCAAAAGTTCGGTCTGAAAAATCAGTTTGGTTTCATCTGTGACCTTCTTATGGAGAGGAGGAAGAAAAGACTCCACGTCAGGAAAATTGCCAAAAGGAAGGATCACATAGATTCATGGTCCCATTATGTAATGTGGACTTTTGGAAATAGATGTATAAATTAAGCACCTAAATAAATGACACATATCTGATGTTGAACAAGTACCTGCCACTGATGTTAGCTAAAAGTCTTGATGCCTGAAGTAAGGGATGTAAGAACACAGATGTAAGCTATCTCATTACAAGTACTAAGGATGCTCAGAATTAATAAGGCATTTTATTAATCTAGTGTACTGAAAGGAAATAACGAAGTGTAAAAATACCATGCCTAGCTATTTTAGCCTCAGTATTTGCTTTTAACAAGCCTAAAGAAAATCTCTGAACGATACTGCATCTTAATTAATGAAATAAAAATTCTCAGACCTTCAAACAGATTCTGCACTGTTTGTTTTAAGGTAATGTATTTGCCATTTATTAGCACTGAAACATCTTGCATTGTGCAGAGATGAATCTATGCTTGATTTCTTTCTTGACACCATCTACCAGAAAATAGATTGTAATTATCATTTCATCTACTAAGTCATTATAAGGTCCTACCGCTAATTTTGGTGGATTTGGGCCAGTAATATCAGATGGTTTGAAACTGGAAATCATGCCAGACACCTGGTTAGGATGTAATGCCACCAGCTAGAAGAATGACAGGATTTTCTGAGAGGTCTTGCATATAGCTTAAATGACACTTTTTATGTTTTAGAAGGAGGGCCTCTTATGTAATACCATAAATGATAGCAAAATTCTTTTTTTAAACTTATTTCTGATTATTAAGCATAATGGTAAAAATGGGGCTTAAAAGTGTGGTAATTAACATTAATTTTGGGAAATGCAGGTGAAAAAGTTAATCGTAAGAATGGGAAACATCAGCAGAGTGGTGTTAAAATGCTATCTGTGTTTTAAAGAGATCTTGTGCTCTTATTTCTTGTTCAATTATTTCCCACCTGACTCTCCCAGACTTTCTCCAAACTCCGTTCTACCAGAATCAACTAATGTACATTTGACTGCCCGTATCGGGGTTTTGCTTTGGGGTTGTTTTGGTTTGTTTTTTTTTTTTTTCCTTTCCTTCTGGCCAGACCGCCTTGCACCTCCACAGCTGCGTGTTTTCAAGCAAGTTTAAAATAAAAGCTGAACAACCTGAGCACGCCAAAGACATTTTGCGGACGGAATTCTGTTTCTTGAGAGGCTACACGTTCTATTGTCGTTATCTGCACACTAATTGTTCACTGTATGCCTGTGACCCCCACCGTGGCCTCCCCCCCTCACCCCCAGACCTCCAGCAGAGTTTCTCCCTGCACCCAGGTCCCGGGAAGCCGCGGCTGCTCCCGAGGGGCCTGGGGGATGCTCGGGGACCAGAGGGCACCTGGGTCATCCCTTAGTGCTGCAGCTCCCATTAAGCCACCTGGGTCTCCACAAACATTCATCTTCCACCTTCTCCTCTTCTCTGCAGCTTCTTAAAGCTCCCGTTACATCCCAGATTAAGAGGAAATGGGGATGAAGCCTCTCAAATCCATTACCAAGGTGATAGCACGGG